ATCCCATAATCATAATCTCTTAAAATAGCTATAATCTTTTTACATACTATGTTATTTGTCCACACAGTTTGCTACAGCTGACAGCTGAATGGTCAATACTGTACATAACTGGTTCTTGCTATTTATATATTGTATATCTCTTACTTAAAAAGTCAGTCTTCCATGCTACTTAGAGCAGAATGTGATAGCTATTCCTATATTTGCTAAGGCTTTATTAATGCATTTACTATTAGGCTGTTAAATATTACCATAAATAAGTCCAATGAAATTACAATTGCCAAAATAAATGTAGAATGTGTGTTTTGTGAGGCATTGTTCTTTTTTTTATTATTATTACTACTCTGTGCATTCCATTCCTAATTTACAGAAAAAAAGGCAAAATTGTTCCATTGTTATTTAAGAGGAATTTCTCAACCGCAAAAGCAGCTTGGGTTACAAGTCTTAAAACAATATTTGTACCCAAATTCAATGAACAGGAGGGGGCAAGCCAAACGGGTGCTCCTGCCCCTTGGAGAAAGAAGGTATTTGATTAAATTAAAAGGCAACGAACCAGCAGAATGCAAGACTGGATAATGTTGAGGCAAACAGTTATATGAAAAAAATCTGTGGTTAGCTAAGAAAAAATGACAAGAACAATCTTCCAGTGATTGTGCCTAAAAGCATAAATTCACCAGCAAGGACCAGTCAGATTTACTTTCTCTGGGCACTAAGATTGTGCTGTAAGGTGTATTCTGAGGAAAGAAGGGTTAGGTGTTCCTCTTGAACTATTTAGTAATGATCAGTGATCACTCTCAGAGTCAAGACAAAGGGGTAGGTGCTCCCTGTCTCCTGTAGTAGGGAATTCCTATGTTTTAATAGTACAGATGAATACCATTTATAATAATGGATGACCTGTGGCCTAGTCACCCTGCCCTGAGTTCCTGACTAGCTACATTTATCATTTATCACAGGAGGGAGTGCCAGCTACAGAAAGTCACTACATCCCCTCTCTCTATGGGTGGCAGAAGGGAATAGGAGAAGTGCTGGCTCACCACCTCATGCACACAAAAATACAGCTATGCCCCCACCATTGTGGAGAGAGCAGCATTTTCCCTTCCAAGGCTGGTGGGCTACTCCAGGGGCAGTTCAGCACAACTGGGCCCTTCTCAGCTGTCCCCAGCCTGGCTGGAATTGTCTGTGTCCCAAACAGCATTGTGCAAAATACATATTAAAATATGCAGGGCCTGGGCTTAGTGTATACTGATAAAGGCAACAGATATAAGCTCTTGAGATTCCAGACCATGTCTCTTAATTAGTACTTAATGGAAGGTAGGCTATAGCTTAGGCTGTAAAAAGGTCAATGAGATAATTTTAAAATCTTCTGGTCCACTTTTGATCCAGTAAAATAAGAAGAGATGAATACCATCTCCGAAAGAAATAGTGCAAGGGTTATTTCAATATACTTGGACCAAAAGTTACTTCCATCTATCTGAACCCATGCATCAGGTAGTACTGACTTTGACATCACCACTTTCTTTGCACTGGTTTCCAATTGAGATGATAGGTACAGTTAACATGAATGGACAATACAAACAAAGGCTTAGGAGCAGTCACAAAGAGCACTTTCTACGCAAGAAAAGGACTTTAAATGCTATTGTATGCCTGGGAAAGTTGTATAAATTGCTGGTGATAGGTCAATGGAAGCATAGTTAGATGCATAAAGGAGGTGATGTTTTTGCAAGCAGAACTTTGCGGGGGAAAAGACTGTACTGTCTAACTTAACAAAATGCAGTTTTGTTCAGAGAAGCTAATATGTAATATGTCACTGCCTTACTCAAAATGACCATAGAGTATTCCTATATGCAGAACCAGCTGAAAAATCTAACTTGAGGCCAAAATATAAAGAACTTGATATGCTGGCAAATAGAGAACCATGACATTGCTTCAAAGAGAAATTTGGTCCCAAAATACACAGACATGAAGGAAGACCCAAAATACAGTATATTGAAAGGAAACATAACATACCACTAATATTTAAGACAGAAGGGAATGGAGCTGAAAGATATAAGTTTGACTGTCCTTGAAGATCTTAGAGGCAAAACCTATGTGCTGTTGTGTGCTACTCTGCCAAGGAAATTGCCCACAAAGAATGAAAGATTAGTTTTCCTCCAAGATATTAGTCCAATTAAGCAAAGGGGAGGAGGGAAAGCTGGTGCCTTTGTGTAACTTTCTGCTATATACAGGAGGGGCACAAGGCAGTATGTGATAATAAGAATATTTATGTATTTTGGCCCCTTCATACAAGTTCTCAAAGACCTGCCTCCAAGTTGAGAATATGATGCCGACAGTATGCAAGAAGGAGTGCTCCCAGAGATTTCAATAATACCAGTTTTTAAATAAGAACAATGCCTCAAAGGAATAGGGCCTGAGCGCATCCCTCTGCCCAGCAAAAGAAAAGATGGCTCATTCAGGTTCATTAAAGTGTATAAAATGAGTTTGGAAGGAGCAATGATACAACATACTTAGCGCTACAGGACAATCTTCATTATTCAAACATTTAAATTAATATACAAAATGTTTGGTTATTTGGATATGCTAGTTCTACAGGCTAAGAAATGAAAGAGTTAATTGGCAATCTGTATGAAGTTGGTATGAGGAAATCTAATGCTGTTAACCAATAGGAATAAGTCATGTCCATTATGAGGGCTGAGCACAGTCTTTCTAATGCCTCAACAGTTTTGTCCCTGGAGAGGATGTTCTTCAATAAGCAAACCTACTTTAGTGAGAAGATTTGCAGGCAGACTTAAATCTGGAAGCACAACAAAGCTTAAGAACAATCACAGGAAAAGCAGTGTGAACAGACATATCAGAGGTACCAGATATAAGCCTGAGAGCAATGTGAACCACTTACTACCCCTCTCCCTCAGATTAATTGGTAAGCTATATCACCCAGCAAGGAGCCTATCCCAAGAGATACAATAATACCTTGTTAGTAATTAGTGGCTCTAAGCTAGCATTGTTGCTTTCCATGCAACAAGTACATGGCATATTTTTCAAAAGAGCACATCTAAGATTTCTTTTTGACTTGGTTCTCTCACTGAGATACTTATGATGACCTATTTTCTGGGTGAGCACAGGAGCATTGTAATTGTGTTGAGGCATTTGATGTTATAAGAGAAGTTGTCTTGAGCAAGGATTTCTAAAGGATTCCAGAAAATGTTGTTGAGCAGTTGCACAGTTCTTTGCAGATTACATGCTACATGGTGCCAACAATGGATCACCAGCAATGAAATCCTTGAGATAACTGGCTTACTGTCTATGCAAACTACACTGGACGCTCACAGGCTTCACTGGCTGAGACACAAAGAGCATCTGCCTTAAGATCATCTGCTAAAGACTGTGGTCTATGGCCAACTCAAGAACCACCCATGAGGCAGAGGAAGGCAAAAGCATCAATACAGCACCAAAGTCAAGGAAGGTCTCAAGAAATTCAGCATTCCCACTGGCAACTGGGAGAACCCTGCCCACAACCGCTCTGTCTGGAGAAGGTGGGTCAAGGCTAGTGCAGTGACTATAGAGAGCCATCCAAGAGCCCAAGCTGAAGCTTCATCCTCTATCTAACAAGTGGACCTGTGGTCACTGGGGAAGGCTTGCCACTCATGCATCAGGCTCTTGTCCACACCACTGCCAAGCACCACTAACTCACTGACTGTCACATCTTCTTTCATCTGTCAAGATGTTGGACAGCTGTGACACCTGTCTGCCTGGCAGGCAGGTGACTCCTGCCCAGCTCGGACTCTAATGTCGCTCTCCCTAAATTGCTCACCCGCCATGCCTTGTTCTTATTATTAAAGATTGATTAAGGAAAGTTGCCCACAAGCCTTAGAGTAACCCTTAATCCTAACAGTTCTCCACCAAGTCTCTTGTGGGCCCCCCTAGCCTCATCCAGCCCTCAGGTCTGATAGGTCCCTCTTGGCCTGACTAGGCCCCAGTAGGGCACCTCTAGCCTTAAGGGCAAATTGCATGGCTGTGTTCCTCCCCTGCACCATGCCCTAAGCCTGGCAGGTGTTATCACTACAAAGTTCAGTTCACACACTTGGCCCCCGTTGGCCCTCAGACCCCATTGTCCCACACTTGGCCCTCTTGGGGCTCCTGGATCCTCTGTCCAGCCCACAGCCCCTCTCTCTTGGGGTTCCCAGACTCCTAGTCCAGCCCACAGCCCCTCTCAGACTCGTAGACCCAGGTCGGACCCTCTCTCCAGCCCTGGACCTATGGACCCTCTGGTCCAAATGTCCATCAGTCCCCAACTCCTGATTCTCCAGGTCCCACACTCAGGTATTCCTTCTGTCTTTGGACCTTCATGGGTCTCACTCTCTCTCAGCCCTGCTTGTCCCTGGACCCTCTGGTCAGACTCTCGGCCCTTTCCAGGCCTGGGGATCATGGATCCCCAGGTCCTTACTCTCTATGTCCCTGTAACCTTGGCTAAGCCCCACTCTCAGCCCCTGCTAGGCTACTGGCCCTCCAACTCAGCCTTCCCTGCCCTTGCAGGGCTCCAAACTAAACTGCTAGGACAGCTTAATAATGAATACCTGTCCTCTGGCAAGCAATCAAGCCTCCCCTAGACTTAACATAAAACAGGGCTACCTGCCCATATAACCAAGCCCTTCTCTGCTCCAGAGACCTTCCCTTGTTTCCTGCATTTCAGAGTTCCTCATTCAGAGCCACTGTCAGTTCATGAGTCCTGCTGTTCTGCTGTCAGGGACTCCTCACTCCATAGCTACCAGAGCAAGACTAACTGACCAGTGAAGGCTCTGAGCTTATATAGCACAAGTCTGAGCCCTTGTCCAGCCAGGTGAGTCCTTCATTAGCCCCGCTTTGCCACCTGCAAGCAGGATCTTAGACTGCTTTCTCCCTGAAAGGAGGAGGCACATCCCAGGGCCCTGCTACAATGGCCATATGGTGTCACATAATGCTTTAACCCCAAGTTATAGAATAGATTACATGTGTTGGGATGCTGACAACTCTGTATCTGAACCTCTGGTATACATCACAATATGTTTTGGAAGGTCTGAGAATCACCAAGATGGATTTTGGAAAAAAAATCAAAACATTTTGATCATGAGGAAGATGGTATGGATCTGAATATGGCTGGTCATAACTTTCACCTTCTTGTCTTTAAATTCTTCTTTCTCCTCAGTGTTCTCTGCCTCACAGTGAGGGCAAAGGCAAACCAGTTTAAAGAAAATATACCCTCCTTACAACATTTGGGATATCCAGCCAACAGCAGCAAAGCCTCGGGACTTCAAAAAGATCCATCTCTCACCTGTTGACTAAAAGAAGGAGGGCAACAAAACTTCGAAATGTAAAGATCAGAAGGTGACAGCTTTGGAAAGGTTTAGATCCAAGACATGGGAGAGGCTCAGGGAGAAGACATATGATCCAGTCAGCTCCATAAACCCCTAAATAAGATAATCCATGCCAGGGTTTTTGTCCCATAACAGAATCCGTCTTGTCTTACAAACCCTTAAATTACTTTTCAATTATAGCCCAAACGGCAACAAATTCAACTTTAGCAAGTGGCAGGTCCAGTTTCTCAAGTGGACTCTCTAACTCTGAAAATTTTCAACAGGTTAGACAGATACTTAGCTGGAATGGTTTAGTCGGGGGTGAACCCACCTTAAGCAGGAGGCTGGCCAAGGTGACCTAGTCACCTTGTGAGGTCCCTTTCACCTCTATTTTCCTGTGTTGCTATATCCCCTGCACTAATATCCATCTACTCCAAGCCCTCATCAAATCTATAATATGCCTGCACTATTGGGATTCCCAATGAGACCCCAACAATGACAATGCTGCTTCTGTTTCTTCTTTCTGTACCAGGCCAAGCCTTCAGTCTCTCATAAGCAATCTGCTCCATATCTTTGGGCCACAACATTATTCTTGTGAAAGGAGCCAATATTCCGAAAGAAAGAAAATACAAACACATTCCACAATTAGTAGTTATAGAGCCTTGGGGAGTTAGAGAGCCCATCCAAATAATCTGCCTGCCTCTGGTGCTCCATTTCTCAAAATTTCCTTGCCCTCATCTTTTCCTCCAGTGATTATAAGATGAAATATAGAAGTTAATTCAGAGCAAGCCCTTTATTGAATCTCTTTCATAGCTGTGTGCAGGACTGGGAGCTTGGTTTATCATCTGCATTGTTTTTAATTTTATGTTTAACTATTTTATCCAAGCAACTATAGAAACAAAGCTCCACCACAGAAGGAATATATAATGGTTACATGAGGTTGAAGTTATTAAATCTTTGCAAAGGAAATAATATACAACATCTGTATAAATGATTACCTCTATGATCAACATAATGAGGTGTATTTAAAGCAATTAACATTTGATAATAATCATTGATAGTCATAGAACCTGGCTACAGATTCTGGATTACTGGCTGGTGAACGTTTGTCCTCTTAATAGGTTAGGAATGGAATCCATATTTCTAAATATTTATTACTCTTTTGTCTCTTTCTAATAATCTAACCTGATGGGACAGTTTTTCCATTACTAAGAAGTCCCATATTTTAGCATAGCATATTTTTCTGTGGGGGTAGACAATATGATTTTTGTTCCCATTTTCAGCAATAACTGCATTTTTTTTAATTACCTGGAATCTTGGAGTTTTCCAATGATGGCTCACTGTTAGCTACCTCACCCAAGAATGGAGCAGGTACTCCATGTATCCCCCATCTACCACCTGATCCTTTAGCTTAGTGAGGCCCTCAGAACAAAAAAACAGATGTTAGAAACACTTTTGTAAGATAAATAGATGGAGACAGATTCTCAGTTGGTGGAAATCAGCATGTCTCTGTTGATTTCAGTAGAGCTATGTCAACTCCCATCTCCTAAGGATCCACCCCTAATAATTCTTCCCTGTTTCATAGTTTCATAGTTGGTAGGGTTGGAAGGGGCCTGAGCAGATCATCAAGTCCAACCCCCTGCCATGGCAGGAAAGAGTACTGGGGTCAAACCACCCCAGCAAGGTGTTCGTCTAGCCTTGTCTTAAAGACCCCCAGGGTAGAAGCCAGCACCACTTCTCTTGGAAGTTAGTTCCAGATCCTAGCCACCCTGACAGTGAAGTAGCGCCTCCTGATGTCTAATCTGAATTTACCCTCTGCCAGTTTGTGACCATTATTTCACAATAACGAAATACGTTCCCTGAGCAAAGACTAGCAATATGATTTTAGCAGTCTCTTTAACCTAGGTCCTTGAGTTCTAAGTCCCTAAAGTAATTAACAAAGCTTTTCTTCTAATGGGTCCCTTCAGAGGTAGCCTTAAGTACTTTAAATTCTCACTTCACCTAAAGATGCATAAAGGTAAATTTCCCCGAAAGCCTTATTAATGTTGCATTGCAAGATAACACCTATGTAAAAGCCAAGTCATGAGATTTTACAGCTGTTAAATGTTGTAAACAAAGATGGAGGAGTATAGTCTACTCTTTTCCAAAAACATATAGAGGTATTTTAAAATACAGGCTGCAGCAAGAACTTCAGATTTGCTCTGTCTTTCACTTCTGTTTTACTGTTTCCAGTTTTGGGCTCCTCACTTCAACAAAGATGCAGACAAATTACAAAGAGTCAACAGAGAAAGACAAAATGGTTAGAGGCCTGGGAAACTTAACTTATGAGGAAAGTCTGAAAGAACTAGGATCATTTAGTCTTGAGAAAAGAAAGAACAAGGGGAGATTTTATAACAGTCAAGTACCTGAAAAGTGGTTATAAAGAAAATGGGTAGACTATTCTCTGTAGTCACAGTATACAGGAATAGAAGCAACAGCCTGAAACTGCAGCAGGGGAAATTTAGGTTGGATATTAGGAAGTACTTCCTCACTGCAAGGGTGGTTAAGCATTAGAACAGGCTGCCCAGACAAGTTATGAAATCTCCGTCCTTGGACTTTTTTGAGTGCAGCCTAGACAGAGACTTGGCTGGGATGGTTTAGTCAAGGAAGATCCTGCTGTGAGCAGGTGTTGGACTAAACGACCTTCAGAGATCCCTTCTAACCATATTATTCTATTAGTCAATGCTTAAACGCCTATATTATAAAACAAAGAAAGTTGACAATCCACCTGGTGGCATGCTTCTCTATCTCCTCGTTTTCTGCAATATTGCATCTAATCTTCATTCAAACATTACTATGTTTCTGTACCTCTGTGTCAGATGGTGCCATGCCTTCACCTCCTGACAATATTACTTGTTCCAGTTTTTCTTCATTTAGGAGTAGGCAGTATGGTTACAGTGGGTAAAGCACTGGGCTGGGACTAAAAATTGCTGAACAGTTCCCCAGGGAAAGAACAATTCTCACTGAAGTCAAAGTGGTAAGGAGGAGAGAACATGAGGTGTCTGGGGTTTATTATTGGTTCACTGTGATACATTTGGGCCTCTATAACATCATCATATTCTGATAGTGTGTCCTCTAATCCTTCATGACATAAAGATCCAAGTTTCATCCCTCTTCTTATATTCATGCTAATTCCATCCATCCTTAGAATGCCTCTCTCCATTTCTTTTCCATGCTTATGTTGAAGTACTATTCTGCTTTCATCCCCTCGTGCTTAGCATAAGAGTTGCACAGTTCTTTACTACTTTACTCTCCTATTCCATTGTTCTGCCTCCTCCTACTAAAAATGATTTCGTGGCTAACATGGTTAGGCATGCATTTTCCATGGCAGAGCTTTATGGAGATAATACACTCTGAAAAGAAGTGTTTAACCATTGGAACAACTTACCAGGGGTCATGGTGCATTTGCCATGATTTGGAAATTTTAAATAAAGATTGGGTGTTTTTTATTCTAAAGTGTATGATATTGATCTAAAAGAATTATACTTAGGGACATCCAATGGCCAGTTTGATACAGGAGATTGAACCAGATGATCCCAACAGTCCCTTCTAGCTTTATAGTCTATGAATCTCTGGATCATCCTGCTGCCTTCTGCTTCTGCTCATCTAACTCCATCATTTCTTATTGGGGTGCAGATGTAGAAGCACAGTAATATATATTGTGCAACCACTCTTAAAAACATCCTTTGAGACTTTTTTCCATGCCCTACCACCTTTTTGTCCTTACTACAGCAAAAATACAGATGCCCTTTTCCATGACAAAATAATATTTGTTTCACCAGTGAAATATCTTTGTTACTTATTATTTTGGGGCCCAGTCTGGTCCTATGCAAATAAAGATATGGCCAGAATTACGTCATTTAAAGCCTTCTGATATAGAGATATCCTAAGAGTTTATCATATATAACTCTGAAAAGTTTAACCCTATAGACAATGGATTAACCTTACAAATGCAAGTTACTGTCAATGAATGGGACCGTATAATAAGAGTACTCCAGATATAAGATTGTTAGAAGGATCTTTAAAAAAACCCTCACATGGAAACACTGTGCACAAAGAAAAGTGGTAAGCAGAGTTTCTGAACTGAAGGCCAATATAAAGAAATCTTGACAGCTGGACACAAACATTTCAATTCATACAAATGACACTTCATTCACTTCTTGGCCCATTTTATCATGAAGAGATTGCATTTATTGAGCAAATGAAATGTACAACCTGATGACGGAGCAGAATGAGCAGACTTCACATCTCTCATAACCAAACCATGAAACCTCGTTCAGAGACTTCTTCCACATTCATGCTGTGCAATACTCTGTAGCAGTTAAGCAGTACTCTAAGCAACTTCTTCCATGTTACATGGAGACAGCAAGATAGTAAATCATCACTAAATGCTTATAGTGCTAGTATCCTATGGGGGAAATAAGGGAGGAGATCTGCTTTTTAAAGCATCACAGAGTGGGGTGTATTGCCTTAGAAGTAATAATCAGATGTTCCTTCAGAAGGGCTAATCACTGGGTTTGGCATTGTTTCGCCACCCGGGAGACAAGTAACTTCCTAGTGACCCCTAGCAAAAATGACAAGCATCGGCGTAAATCTTGCAGGTCCAAGCTTTCTTTCAACCCAGCACTGGGTGGAATGGTAAACATTTAGCCAGAGGAAAACTGTCCATCCCCTTTCTTTTCATGTCCATGGGACCAGGTATTTATTTAAACCAGGGGAGCTGCGTTCCAACACCTGGCACCTCTCACACTGTACCTCCTCCACAGCTTGAGGGAGCTCACCCAAGCTCCTTACAAGCTGAAATGAGATCTGCTTGGACTGCCATGGTTTGAAAGGAAAAGCCTAGAGGGGGGAGAAAGAAAAGAGGATCCTGTGTCCTCTTTGTCCATCGCAGGCCTGGGAGGTTACAGCAGTGACTGTCTCCTGAGCTGGCCTCTGGGAGCTGAAGGGTGGATGGAGCAGGGAGCTGCCTGTTTACCCAGGAGGGCTCTGCTGATAGCACGTTCCTGGAGTTTACTTTGCTTTCCTTGAGTTTATTGTAAAGGGGTAAAGTTTTCGGATTCATCACGTGACCCTGACAGGTCCTGCCTATTGAGAGCCAGACCACCCACATGGAGGACGATGGAGCTGCTTAATAGAAACAGGCATGTAATTGTGAGCCTTTCCAGCACTCTGCAGAATGCCTGCAACCTAGGAGGATTATTTTTTTACACTTTCAGTTCCTTTGGTCCAAGCAGAAAAGAAAGCGAGGAAGGGAGGGGGGCTGGGGGGGGGCAAGGAAGAAAGGGAAGAAAGCAGGACACGAAATCGATGTGATATCAAAGTCTCCCTCGGCGCTGAATGCAATTTCGCAAGCCCGTCAGCTCCCCAACTCCCACCGAGCTGCTCCCCGTGAGAAGGGGAAGGATGGTGAGTACGAGACTAGCTTTGTCATTAAGAAAAAAAAGAAAAGAAAAGAAAAGAAAAGAAAATCGCGTGTAACGGGGCTGCTTCCTGGGAGAGCCCCGGTGGGGG